ATTATGTCCATTAAAAAATACTAACAGGAGTAATCAATAAGATACTGTGAATGATTTTTTTAATAATACAGTCGTCAAGATTATTGATCTTACAGTTATTTGAAGCATTTAGTACTCAGGGTTGACAGTCTTTTTCAGCACAAAATCAATTGTGAAAGTTTCTAAAACCATAGCAGCCACAGCAGTTGGGTTGAACATTCAATTTCCCCCCGCCCCCCACACAAGTTTTTAAATAAGTTTATGCACTCTAAGGAGAAGAAAGAAACAGAAAGGGATTTCTGAATACATTATTAATATGTCAAAGACACAGCTGACAATCTTTCGCAAACCATCATTATATAAAGTCACACATAGGTGAGTATGCTTGGCTAGCAGTTTGTGGTAGGGAGATAACAAAAGGCTTTAACAAATGATTGCAGTTTGTCCAACACTCACTGAAAATACTGAGATGATCTGCAAGCTTGTTAGCCTCTTTAAGGCATACCTATGTGCAGTCAAAATCAAATTTCATCATTACAGTTGCTGAGGACCAAAGATAATAAAAACAATGCCAGTAATACGAAAACATTAAGTTAAATCTCTCAGTTGTGGCGATACTCTAAGTGTGCTGTGCATTTATTAGCACTGCTCTTAGCCAAGTAGGTGCTACAGAACTACAGCTATGACAATTTCTTGCTTTAGCAGATGATCCTGGATCAAACCTTCATGATCCTGAGTAAGGACCTCATCCAGTATTCCTGTTGCTGGCAAATCTCCCACTGATCAGGTCCTAAGGGCCTCATGGTCCCCTCCACCTGATTGGCAATAAGCAAGGGTGCAGCTCTTTGCTTTATTAATTCCTGCTGCATGCCTAACATCAGCATCCTTGAGAGGGGTACTGCATAAGCTGGGCGACCAGCTGCTACATGGTACCTTGGGCCACTGTGTTGCTAGAGCGGTGGAGTCGTCCAGTTAGCACAACTGTGTAAACTGTCACATTGGCCTGGTCTATACGAAAGAAATTAAACCAGTTATAACCCTTAGAATGTTTGCAGAATGCTGCATATACATACAGAAATACCCCAACCAATGTAATACTCAGCTAGAAGAGGTTATCTTTCAGCAGGGTTAATAACTAGTTAAAGCTTAACTAGTTCAGTGTCAGTGTGGACACAGACAAGCTGTAACAGTTTAACTAGGCCTCCCACTACTGTCTCACAGTGCACATGTGTGGCCTTGCAACATCACCTAGAATGTATGGCCAGGTTTATGTGAAGTGGTTTAAGACAGCACTAGTGTGGATGAGGGGAAAAACATAAACCCACTCAGCATGGGGAGTGTGGATTCAATGAATCTTTTCCACTTCAAGTGGTTCAGTGTATCCAGTTCAATCACAACCAAGTCAGTTCTCTAGTGGAGTCAAGGCCATAATGGCTAGGAGTTTCATTTCAACAACCAAGATTTGATGGTATGGCATACTCCTGCTCTATCCGCATCCTGCATAGTCACCATGAAATGGTATAATATGACCCTAAGGGTATGTCTATACAGCCCATGGAAGCAAGCTGAAGTCCACCCCTCTCCCTAAGCTTCAGAGGCCGATCTTCAGCCTGAGCCACATCTTCAAAGCGCTGTCTAGACAGCGCTTTGTAAAGTGCTAATGGGAGCCTTCCTGGCCCAAGTCTGTCAGCCCACACTAGGAGGCTCGCTTCCCACTGACTGAATGATACATTGACAACTAATTTACTAGCACAGATCTTGATGCTATTTTCATAGCATTAGACCAGCCTTGTGTTGGGCTGTTCTTTGCTTGATAATTTCCCCTCAGACTTTTAGAATGACAGCCAGCTCCTGCAATCTCAAGCAGATCTCTTGGCAAAGCCAAACAGTTATAGCCATAGAGTGGCTTTCCTATTGGTATCCTTTAAATCTGAAGGCCTCGTGTAATGCCGTCAGACTCCAGTTGTTGGCAGGCGGGATTGAATCTGGAGCTTAGTGCATGAGCCTCTACCACCTGAGCTAAAAGCCAACTGGCTGGTAGCTAAGGCTGTAGAGCAAACTCATTAATCTCGCTGTCTCTGTCTCTCTCTAAGTGGTCTCGGTGCCACTAGATGGGACAGAACACCACACCCAGAAGGTGTGTGGGTTACACTTGGGTAAATCAATAACCTACAGTGGGATCTTCAATTAGGCGGCTGAAGCCATGTTGAATGTATAAACACTGCTTTTTTTATATATTACTATTTAGGAGTTTCAGCTACTAAACAGGCTGGCCTGGAATTAATGCTACATTTGTTCACAACATTTGAATACTACATTGGGACAAGGAAGAAACCCAAACTCTAATCTTCGCTAGTTTATTAATGGTGCTGTGGATTATGAGACACATTTTGAAAACATGCACATAAATTGTATCCAGAAAATACTTTCACCTACTGATAAGCACCTTATTGCAGGACAGCATATGCTATATGGATAACTGTATGACAAACAAGTATTCACATGCACATGTACCCAAATGTGCAAATTTTCCAATGGGTTCACTTTAGGACTTTTTGTTAAATAGCTCTATTTGTGTAAATACAGGTAGCAAATTTCATAACTGTTTTGTATGTAATGCTTCTTTCATCTCATAGGAGTATAGTACCTGTATGGAACTGTTTTTTATCATTATTTTAGACTGTAAATATGTCACATTTCCAAGCACATTTAGCCATTCATTATTACCAAGTTTTTTAAACAGGATTCAAATAAAAGAAAATACCACACAATGTTTCATGAAAATTGTATACATTTTTAAAGTAATCATCATTGTATCACTTACAGTCTTCCTTTTGGATGACACTGTTTATTGAAAGACATCATTTGTATTAAATACACTGTAGTACAAGAGACTTTCCATGTCATGTTGACAGAAGCTGGTCACATGATTCACAAACAAATCTTTTAACACTGATACTCAGGCATCACTTCAAAATCAGCCAAGATGCAATGGATCTTTTAAAGCAATGAATTTCTATAACAAACTGCAAAACAAGAACCACTAAATATCTACACAGAGACATCACAGTGTAAAAAAAAAGAAAATTAAAGGAGAAAGATAGCTCTAAACACCAGGTCACAGTTTTAGTGACAAATATAGAGATCTATATTTATAAGTAGGTATCTCCCTCTCTCTCACTCTCAAGAGAGAGAGAGAGAGTGGAATCTAGAAATATACATATATATACATGAAGTATAGGTAGAGAGCAGGGCTGGGGCAAATATTTCATAATAAATTGAATCTTTCTCTATTGGTGATGTAATTAAACATCCACACTGAATTGAATTACTTGTATATAAAATTCTCAGCTGCTTGTTCGACATTTGTTCTTCTTTAAGTTACAGAACAATACATATAAGCTGCAAGATATAGGCCTCTGATTTTATTTTGTTAGATTTTTGTTTTCTTATGCCTCCCTGCCAAATAGCCTTGCTAGAAGCAGCTTCTGCTATGCTTGCCCAAAGTATTCTGTGTTTATAAAATACATTTCAGCCAATCTTCACTCAGAACTTTCTACAAGCAAACAAAAAAAAAACCATAGACCTGGCCTAGAATGCATAGACAAGAAAAAATATACCCATCATTTCCCATTTCTTCTCCTGAGACGTACTTTAAAAAGATGGCAAAATAGTCACTTGGTTGCTGTTGTGAAATTCACAGTGTTTTCCCTGCAACATTGTAGACTTTTTTTTGCTTCATATTTGTGATGAATGTAGCAAAAAAATAAAATAAAATAAAAATTAACTAAGGCTCTTCAAGGACCTCTTGACTCAGAGCAGCAGTGGTTCATCCCAGCCCTGACAACAAGAAAATACAGCTTCCTGTGCTATCAAAACCTTCATCTTCAACCAGAAACCCCAACCCCCTCCCCACCCACCCCCACATTCTTACAGCAATATTTGAATTTCTTTTACAGGCTGTAACAACCTGGAGACAGTCTTGTTATTACGCATATGCACAATAACTTAGCTAGTGACTTGATCGCTTTATTGGGGTGTTTCTTTTATCTTTAAAGTGTTCTGTGAAAGTCTATATCGAGCACAACAAAAATATCTTCAAAGAGCAGAGAGAGAGAGAGAGAGAGAGAGAGAGAAGTAAATGGCAGTTATTTATTGAACAGCAGATAATATATAAATATATTGGTTTATAAATCAAAATGAATGAACTCCTATGTAAAAAGAAGTTCCATCATGCATCATGGGGTGCTGTTGCTTTACAAATACTGTTCGCTACAGCTGGTTGCTGAGTTCTGCAGATTTACTGAGGGCGAAGGAGAGAACGTGGGAAATTCCCAATACTAGCTGCTGCTATTATTACTGCAGGGTTTTGGAGTTCTCACCATTGTTCTACCAGTTGTGTTGCAATCTGAAAATTCCAGCTCATTCTTGGAATTATTTTGTAACTGAAGAGAAGTGCAAAATGCCAATGGAGCTGTAGTACTGCTGTTGAACAATACAACAATAATAGCACAAAAACAGAAATTATTTTAAACCAAACTTTCTTCTAGGAAGTTTGAAGCCAATCTGTTCATTGCTCTGTGAGAAATCAATGAATATTAGACAATAACGGAGGGATTGCTTTTATACAATCATTTGGAAAAAAATGTTGATTGTTAAAAATATCTCTGGCATTCTAGTATTTCCTCCACCCATGCGGAACTGCATTCACATAAAAAGTTAAATCTTATAAACATAGAAAAAGAAATACCAAAGGAAAACAGGATTTTGGTTATTTAGCGGACTTTATTAATAACATTGTACCCTAATTATCATCTGTTAGAATACATGTATATGTAAATTTATACATATACACACAATCACACATACTGTATATGCATGTCTGCATATGTATAAATCAAATATTTATAACACACATATACATATATGTATATACCATGTATATATACACACCCTATGTAAACACATATATATATATAATATGTATTATATAATATATATTATATATATGATCGGTTTGTAGCATAGTCCAGAAAGATTTTGTAATGAGCCTGATTGTCATATTTGCTCAGTGTACAAGATTTAGCTGAAGTTGCAAGCATGACAAATGTCTATACATACACTCACCCCTCATTGCCATTTGAACATATTTCTTTTTCTCTTTTCCACTCATTTTGCTACACTTACACCCCTTCTTATGAATAAATGCAAAAAAAGGTTTAGCTTTAGTTAATAGCTAGTCTACACTGATTATAGCTTTTATGGACTACTGTTCACATGTGTGATATAGGCCAAGTTTATTCATATTTTTGGCTCTGTAGAACATTTGGTCCTTTAAGTTTGACATACTGATATGCTGTTGCACAGTGTATTCTAACACACTATATTTTCCCCATACATGACTCTAGTATGCTCTTTTAGTAATGAAAAAAGGATGCCACTAGATCAAATTGTATTTTTTTTCTTCATTTTTGGTATACATTCTATTAGTTCTTGCAAAACCTACCTGTTTGCTTTCAGGTTAGGGCCATTGCTCAGAGAGAACAATATCTTGGAGACAAAAAGGCTACATTTTTCTAAAGGGCATAAGGAACTATGACAGAATACAACAGGTAGGAGTTTTGTACCTCCCTTCCCCAACACACAACCCTTCCCTCTTCACACTAAAAGTGTAGTCTCAGTGGACTCTGACACTTTACATTTTCTTTTCCACTTTCTGTTATATTGAAACTGAATTTCTTAAAAACATAAAACTCAGGCCCTCAAGAGAATGGGTTTCCCTGAATGTTCAATTTTTTTCTAACAGGGCTATTGCTATTCAAACTTCTAAGACAGCCCAGATAAAATCTTAAAGCCCATTTTGTATGAGTCTTCCTCTGGCTTTTTTTTTTTTATTTCCAGTTCTAGTGGTTCAGAAATAACATCTGGTTTATTAAAGAAATACTGCATATGGCTTTATAGTTACATTGTTAAGTTTATTTTTAATGCTTCTTTTCACTGACATAGAGGAGGGTTCAACTCCATCACTGTCCAGTCAATTGTTTTATTTCTGAAAATGTTCAAAATCTCTATGAACTGGCTTTAAAAGCCACTGAAGGAAAAAAGAAAGAGCTTTAATAAATAATATATGCAAGCAAATTATATATTAACATATTATGGGAACACTTACAAAAATAAAATGCTTAATGTATTAAATAAAATAACCACAACACAAAGATGAAGAACTACTACTACTCTTTGATCTGGCTCATAATATTTAAAAAAAAAAAAAAAAAGAAAGGACAATTTTTTGCAGCAAGGCCCCCTCACAGAGGGAGGCAAATGTTCTTGAGGAACAGGTAAGATTTATTTCCATTTGTAAGAGTTCATAAGAAAAATAATCCTAAATCTAAATTTTAAATCTTCAGCATCTGTTTGAAAAATAAACATAGATGCCCATGCACTTGCCATCAGCACAGTGGCCATGCATATACTGTATGCACACAATGCCTTTCCAACCAGACATAAATAAATTACAGAACAGTGGATGCTGGGAATGACACCACTAGATCAACCAGAAATTGGTGCTGAACTCAGGGTCTGTATGCTATAATGTTAAGTGATAACCACAGGATCACATCTAGCGGTCTAGATTAAGTCCAGGGACTTAATTCTATCATCCCCAGCCATGGATCAAACATAATCTACTATTTCCATGTTTTAGATTATTTGCGTAGTATCATATCTGTAACAATGTAAAGACATCTGAATGTAGCTAATGACCTCCATTAGCTCCCTCTAATTAAATATATGTTATACCTTTATGGATTTGCTATTCCTATCAGGGTGTACAACAAGATGAGCAATAGTTTCTGCACAAAGGGCATTAATCGACGAAGACCATGCACAATTTTGCTTGCACAGTGAAAAAACGGGAATGGAGAAGGAGAGTAGTAGGAATATGCTGCCTGACAAGCACAGTATCTACAGCTTGCCTCAGCATCTACAACTTGTCCTGTCTGATCAAAGTCCTCAGCTTCAACACTTGACCCTGAAATGCATACTGTACATTAATCAGCCAAGCTTCAGCCTGTATTACCAAAGGCTAGCTGGAGAACACTTTTATACCAGTGCTATCACAATATCCTACTCTAAGACAAGTTGAGGGATTGTATTTAGCTTATCATAGTGTTGTGTAACCTAGTGCAATGCAGGCAGCATCTTTTTCTTTTTACCATAGACCATTGTACTGGATCTGATGATGAAAAGTGCTAACCAAGCACACTCTTTAAACAATCCCTTTACTCCTCAGACAGACTCCCAGAGGAAAGCACAGAATCCTTTCCTACCATTAAATCATTTCAGTGTTTTTGAGCGGGGTTGGATGCCATCTAATCCCATGGTTCTTCCATATAGTGGATCACACAACGCTGTTTTCTTTCTATCTGGCTTTATCTCAACTAGAAATAAGCTTCCCATAGAAAACACCAATCTTCTTTTTCCACCCACACGGTGAAGCAAAAAAAGTAGAGGTGAATCAAGAGAAACTCCCAGTATCTGTACAGCAGAAGTCACAAAGTTCGAGTCAAATATTTTTTTCCCTTTTTTCATCCACATCAAAGGCATGAGTATAACAAGGCATTGTTAGTTGTGGTGGGCAATCTGGAGTGTCTGCTGATATAACAGATCAGGTTTTTAAGGCCTTTGTCTATGCAGAGTTACAATAACGCAGAAGCCAGATTGAATAGAAGGAGAAAAAATGAGAGAAACAGAAAGAGAAAGAGAAAAGAGATACATTTCAATAATGTCAAAAAAGTCAATACTGTGTCTACAGATGGAGAAGTGCACATTGCTTGCCCTTTGAAAGCTTCTCCGCATCTTTGTCATTACTACTGTCAGAGTTAAGAACATATTTTGATGGAGTTCAGCGGCCGTTGAACACATTCATTCACACAGCCCATAAGAGGAAATGCTAGGAGGCTCTAGCCTAGAATATCCAGGTAAACTGGAGAAGCCTTGGCCAAGTTCTGAAGGAGGGAATGGATTTCTTTGATGTTGAGCCTCATGTGAGGCTCCCGTTGCCAACAACCCAGCATCAAGTCGTACACTTCCTTTGGGCACGTACGAGGTCGCTGCAGAACTCGGCCCTGAGTGATGCACTCGATCACCTAGTGAGAGAGCAAAGAAAGAATCAGTGGAGCAATAGATAGGCACTAGCCTGCCTTAGCCGGTGCTGACCAGAGCTGCTAGGGTCCCTGGGTGCTGAGCAAGGCGACCCAGTGCCTTACATGCCACAACCCAGTACTGGGTCACAACCCGAACTTTGAAAAACACTGGCTTAAACCACTTCCAAAATGACATCAGCTAAACTGGAAAAAGGCAATCTGGAATAAGAGGGTCCTCATGGGGAGTGACACTGGTATAGCTACAGCAGTTTAAATTCATACTTTGCCTAATACTGGTACAATTTTCCTCTGTAGACAAGCCCTGAGTGTGAGTGAATTTATTTCTTATGAAAGGGGCTAAATTGGCAGACCTGTAGACTGAAATTCTCTGTCTACAGAACTAGTAAATCACGGGAAATAATGGTATAAGCTTCCAAAATCTGTTCCATCAACCTCCCAAAATCCTAACTTGGAGGGACCAATGCCTTTCACCCTACTTACCAGGGTAATTCATTCTGAGGGCTTCCACACCCACACAAGCCTCTATTGAGACTGAGCACAAGTACCCTAACTATTGGCAATTGTGGTAGGGTTTGTGATACAGACTCCAAACCACATGCTGCATGCTCCTCTCTCACTCAGAACCATTCCTTCCCACATGCTCATAGAGGCATCACAGTGGCAGGTGGTCAGCGACTGGAGATACAAGGGGTCATCCCTGGCAGAGTTTTTCTGGGCTTCAAAGGACTTCCGGATCCCCTCAATTTGTTATAGACTGGGGTAAGACAGCAGCTTCCGGATCCCCTCAATTTGTTATAGACTGGGGTAAGACAGCAGCATTGTTCTTGAGTCACTTACACACACTGGTTGATACCTGTAATAGAGACTGCCAGAGGCTGGGCTGAAGATACTCCAGCCCCTTTCCTTTGCAAGACTGCAACACCTGTCACCACAGTTTTTTCTCCATACCCCAGGCAGGTTCCAGCTTACCCCACAACTTTCTTGTATTCTACTTGGATAACACCCTTCTCTCTTAGCAGGAAAAATTAAAAAAGCCAGAGAAAAATGGACCCAAACGATGACACTTGTGATAATACCGTAAGCGTTGGCAAGTACATAGTGATTTTCATAGTAAATAACATTGCAACTTGTGTGCTATCCTTTCCAATCAGAGAGCAATTCCCTTGTTACATCCATATCTTTAGTTAAACTCCACCATCTAAAGCACATTTTGTTATGCACAGTGCATTATACACACCTCATTGTTTGAGAGCTGATACCATGGCTGTTTGCCATAGGTGAAGATTTCCCATAAAACGACCCCCAAGCTCCAGACATCGCTTTCTGTGGTGAACTTCCTGTACATGATACTCTCAGGAGGCATCCAACGAATGGGCAACATGGTGTGACCACCAACCTGATGGAAAAGAACAAACTTGTTTAAAAGAATTCCTATGGGTTCCTTGTGAAGATGTGCACAATGAATGCCAAACTGAGGGAGTGGATATTGATATTTTCTATTTGTGCCCATTAACTTTACAGAGCTTGTAAGAACAAATTAGCAAGATACTACTTCCTATTATCATAAATTCATCTCTTAATCAATGTAAATGGATGGCAATCACTACCAAGATCGATTTCTCAATATTGTGGTACCTTCAAAGAAATTATTTCTGAATTATATATTGATTTTTTGGACTTATTTAGCACCTTCTATCCGAGGGACTCAAACCACTACAGAACAAAACCTAACAACACCCTAACACACTCATTGTACAACACAGAGAGACTAAGGTATCACATAATGAGTTCAGTGCAGACATTGCCCCGTTCCGTACCAAACCCCATTGACTTCTAGTGAGCTCCACAGTGGTCTGTCCATATGGAGCTCATTGTAGAAGTAGGGCCAAGGTGATTTATCTCTTAATTCCCAATTCCATGCCTGACCCACAAGACTTCTCCCTTCCTCTTATGAAGAACTGAACGTGACCTGGGAGAGGAGAATTGATATTCACTTACAGAAATCTGCAATTATTCATATATTTGACTGTGTTCATGACCTTCTTGTGTTTATAGTTCATAGATATTCCAATGAATAAACTTTACTATTCTGGCAAATTAATTTTCCATGAATATTTTAGTGAAGAGTGCATTCCAGTCAACTAGACTTTGAGAAAAGTGAATTTTTAAGTTGAATATTTGCCAAAATTAGAATGTCAAAAAGCATAAACAACAAACTGTGATTTTCAAATTGCATAAATAACTAAGCACCAATGTGAATTTCAATTTGCAGATTTTACAATTGAATCTGCAATTCAAAACTCATTCTGTTGTTATTTAGCTACATCAGTCACCCAGTCAATATCATATGACATATCTAATTATGACCTTGATTCTGCATCCACCCAGAATTCATCGACTGGGGACTGACTAATGCCATGTGAATTTTTTAAATATTCACAGTGAATTGCTCACGAATTATTGCAGACCAAAATTTATGCACTGAAGAAATCTACAAATAATTTTCAATAATTAAAATATAAAAGAATTCTGCAGCCTGCTTGTAGATAAATTTCTAAGAGAAAACGGTGCAAATTTTATTGACTGATTTTTTATTACAAATTATTCATTCTCTCCTAAATAGCCTAAACCCCCAGCCCCCACTCTTTTGGATTAACTAATCTGCTTAATAATGATCTGTAACTATTGGAATCAGACCCTGAATCATAGATTCATAGATTCATAGATTCTAGGACTGGAAGGGACCTCGAGAGGTCATCAAGTCCAGTCCCCTGCCCACATAGCAGGACCAAATACTGTCTAGACCATCCCTGATAGACATTTATCTAACCTACTCTTAAATATCTCCAGAGATGGAGATTCCACAACCTCCCTAGGCAATTTATTCCAGTGTTTAACCACCCTGACAGTTAGGAACTTTTTCCTAATGTCCAACCTAGACCTCCCTTGCTGCAGTTTAAGTCCATTGCTTCTTGTTCTATCCTTAGAGGCTAAGGTGAACAAGTTTTCTCCCTCCTCCTTATGACACCCTTTTAGATACCTGAAAACTGCTATCATGTCCCCTCTCAGTCTTCTCTTTTCCAAACTAAACAAACCCAATTCTTTCAGCCTTCCTTCATAGGTCATGTTCTCAAGACCTTTAATCATTCTTGTTGCTCTTCTCTGGACCCTTTCCAATTTCTCCACATCTTTCTTGAAATGCGGTGCCCAGAACTGGACACAATACTCCAGCTGAGGCCTAACCAGAGCAGAGTAGAGCGGAAGAATGACTTCTCGTGTCTTGCTCACAACACACCTGTTAATACATCCCAGAATCATGTTTGCTTTTTTTGCAACAGCATCACACTGTTGACTCATATTTAGCTTGTGGTCCACTATAACCCCTAGATCCCTTTCTGCCGTACTCCTTCCTAGACAGTCTCTTCCCATTCTGCAAAGTACTTAAGCACATGTTGAACTCCTTAGGAATGCCCTTCTGAATCAAGGCCTGTATGAATATTCACGAAGCGTTTGTTATTTTCATAAACAGATGCACTTTCTTAAAACTAGGATCTTCTTTAACCTTGATTCTTTTAAAAAAAAAATGTTTTTATTTCCATTTTCCAATTGATTTATTGCCTCTTGATATGCCATTTCAACTTGATCATACAAATTAACAAATCCTAACAAATCTAATTAACAAATCTAACCCAGTATGACCATTTTATGGAATTCTGATTATCTCTGAATTGGAGCTGTTGTAAACGGCTCCAAGAATATTTTCTTTTTAAAGGATATATAATTTTTGATTAATATATTTTTTCCTCTCTGATAATTTATTTAGTTTATGAAACCACATCAGGACAGATTTTTCACTTTTCAAGATTCCAGTCTTTCAGGAGATCATTCCTCCTTCTGGGACTTTACATAAGTTGTTATAAAAAAATATTTTCCTTGTTCTGATGTCAAAACAGCAAATGATAGGTGAGCCTAATAAAAGTTCAGTCAGGGTTCAGATTACTTCTAAAGCAGTTGGTAAATCTTTTCCCATATATTTGTCAGTGCTTCAGTGTTAGTGTAGCACATCAAAAATACAGTCATCACTGTTAAACAGTGCAATCATGCTGCATACACTGCCATAAAAGACCTAGACCATTATTGATTACATAAAAATACATAGAGGTGCCACAACTTACATAGGCATGTGTTTTATTAATAGGCACTCTTTTGCTGCCCCTCAACCCAGATAATGTGGGTGTAGCATGTCCACAGTTGGTGCTTTAGCACCGACAGAGAGAGCAGTGCAGCGTGGGTAGCTATCCCACTGTTCAAATCACCACCTTCTGACACTAGGAGTTCTGGGAATGGATAGCAGTGCATTGGGGGGGGGGGCCCCACCGCCCCCATGATGCAGTTTTCTCCATCCTATCAATCCATGGGTTTCCGACTACGTTTTGTGCCATTTTTCAACTTCCCCTGTAAACTTGGCACCCGCCATCTCTGCCTGAAAGCATGGATCCTGCACTGCTCTTCAGTCTTGTAATAAGCATTACAAATGCAACACAGCTGATCCTGCAGTATTTCATGAACTGCAAATATGAAAATGAATTTGTGGTGCCTGCCCTGCTATGTGCCACTGAAAGAAACAATTCAAGATTGCTGTTGGCATTCATGGAGCAGCTGCACACGGTGGACCATCATTACTGGGCTCGGAAAACAAACACCGAGTAGTGGGATTGAATTGTGATGCAGATATGGGATGACGTGCAGTGGCTGCAGAACTTTTGGATGCGCAAAACCACCTTTCTGGAACTGTCTGCGGAGCTTGCCACTGCAGTGCGGTGCAAGGACACCACAATGAGAGCTGCCCTCACTGTGGAAAAGTGAGTGGAAATCGCTGTGTGGAAGCTGGCAACTCCAGAGTGCTACTGGTCAGTTGTGAATCAGTTCGGAGTTGGGATGTTCACCGTGGGTGTTGCAGTGATGCAAGTGTGCAGGGCCATTAATTGCCTCCTGCTACGAAGGACTGTGACTCTGGACAATGGGTGGTGAATAGTGGATGGCTTTGCAGCAGTGGGATTCCCTAACTGCGGTGGAGCGATAGATGGCACGCATATCCCAATTTTGACCCCAGGCCATCTTGCGACAGAATACATCAACAGAAAGGGCTACTTCTCTATGGTATTGCAGGTGCTGGTGGATCACTGGGGTCATTTCACTGACATCAGCACAGGGTAGTCAGGGAAGGTGCATGACTAGGGCCCAACCAAATTCACAGCCCATTTTGGTCAATTTCACGGACGTGGGATTTTAAAAATAATAAATTTCATGATTTCAGCTATTTAAATCTGAAATGTCATGGTAATTGTAGGGGTCCTGACCCAAAAGGGAGTTGTGGGGAGGGAGTTGCAAGGTTATTGTGAGTGTGTGTGGGGGGGGTTGCGGTACTACTACCCTTACTTCTGCGCTGCTGCTGGCAGCGGTGCTGCCTTCAGGGCTGGGCAGCTGGAAAGCAGTGGCTGCTGGCTGGGAGCCCAGCTCTGAAGGCAGAGCCGCCGCCAACAGAAGTGCAGAAGTAAGGATGGCATGGTATGGTATTGCCACCCTTACTTCTGTGCTGCTGCCTGCAGAGCTGGGGCCACAGTCAGCAGCTCCCACTCTCTGGCCGCCTAGCTCTGAAGGCAGCAGCGTGAAGTAAGGGTGCAATGGTATGGTATTGCCACCCTTACTTCTGCACTGCTGCTGGCGAGGCGCTGCCTTCAGAGCTGGGCTCCCGGCTAACAGCCGCCAGTCTCCAGCCACCCAGCTCTGAAGGCAACACAGAAGTAAGAGTGGCAATACCGCAACCCCCTTAAAATAATCTTGTGACCCCCCTGCAACTTCCTTTTGGGTCAGGACCTTCAGTTTAAGAAACACCCATGAAATCTGTATAGTATAGGGTAAAAGCACTCAAAAGACCAGTTTTCATGGGGGGAGACCAGATTTCACAGTCCATGATGAGTTTGTCATGGCCGTGAATTTGGTAGGACCCTATGCATGACACACACATCTTCAGGAACAAGGGCCTGTATAGAAAGCTGCATGCAGAAACTTTCTTTCCAGACTAGAAGATTCCAATAGAGGTTGTGAAAATGCCCACAGTAATCCAGAATGACCATTGAATGTGCATTTAGCAGATTAAAGGCTCACTGGTGCTGCCTTTTTGGCAGGTTAGACCTCAATGAGGAAAATATTCCCCTGGTCATAGCAATCTGCTGTGCTTTGTATAACATTTGTGAAGTCAAGGTGGAAAAGTTTCCCCAGGGGTGGAGCATTGAGGTGGATTGGCTGATGGCTGATTTTGAGCAGCCAGACACCAGGGCTATCAGAGGGGCTCAAAGAGGGACTGGAGTATTCGAATCAGGGAGGCTTTGAGGC